GAGAATATTAAAATTATTATTGAAATATAAAATTATGTTTAGAATATGATTCTATATTTATAAAAAAAAATTAGAATATTTGAGACTCTTTAAATATTTATTTAAGTACTTAAGGGTAACTTATAAAGTACTAATAAAAATGTCAAATGAACTCTAAAAGATTATTAAAAAATTTATAATGGTACAAAACTAAAAATAAAAATAAAAATAAAAATAAAAATAATAATAATTATTATTATTATCGTCGTTATTGTCATAAATTTTTACTTTCTTGAATAATCATTTAAGTATAATTATTATGGAGGATATTTTAAAAAATAATCTAGTATAATATATTGAAAAAATTTGGGTTTTACAAAAATAGAGCAAACTCAATTTAATTGGATATTTAAAACTTATCTTAAATGGATTTATAAGCAAATGCACCAGAACGGAATGAGTAGAAGCTATATATGTATGTGGATTTTGCGAATAGGCTTCAAATTATTTTTCATCGTGTCTCACTAGTGAATTTTATGATTGAAACATCATTTTTGTGTCTCACTATTGAATTTTGTAACTGAATTTCAAATCGATTTTCATCGTCTCTCTTGTATGAGTTTCATGAGTAATAGGTTTCAAATCATGACCACTACTTGAAAAATGAGTTTCAATTTAATACTTAGGGTTCATAATTTTTAAACAAACGAGATTGTTTTCTATTAGTTTTCTTTTAATTGATTTTATGTTTTTTATAATTTAATAAAAAGAATGTCTTGATGGTGGAATACTTTTAAGTTACTCACCTCATTTTTATTGTGGCAGGGATAACAAACAAAAGAAAAGTAATTAATTAAAGTTATTGAGCATTCCACAAAAAAATGTCACTACTTGTGACTATTAACATCACTGCTACAAATATAACACTTTTTTTTTGTTGCAATTTATTGAGATTGTTAAAGAAAAAATTATCGGTAATTACCTACTTTTTTTTAGTTAAACTTGATATAAGCATGTTATAAATAGATGTATTTAATAACTCTTATATTAAAATAAATGATTTAGATTAAAAGATATTATTATATATTATCATCATTGTAATTTTCTCTATTATTGTTGGTCTCGTCGTCGTTATTAGAACCATTACCACTACTACCTCCACTGCATCTCTACTACATTATCACTGTTATTATCATTACCTCCACCGTGCTGTTACCATCTCTCTATATATAAACAAAATGTACTCCAACAATGAAATAATATTAAATAAAAATTAAACAAAAATATTATATATGTTGATATATTCAATAACAAAATTATAAATTAGAAAACATATTTACATCTAACCATACTTAAATAATATTAATAAAAAAATTAAATCCTTCAGTATTTGCAGCGACACTTAATTAATAAAAAAAATATATAAAGTGATTCTCTCAATTCTTGCAACGACACTTAAATAAAAAAAAAAAATTTAAGTCTTCCATGAGATAGCAACATTAAAAAAAAAAAAAATTATCTACCCGTGGAAATAGTGATACTATAAGAAAAAAATGTCAGCTCAACTCCATTTTTAATTTATGCTCAATCGATTATTTGAAATAGTTTGTAAATATATAATTTGAAAATAATCTCATTTAAGTAATAAATTTTCTTAATAGATTCCTATGTTCAAATTTTTTTTTAATAAATTTACTCATTTAAATTAAAAAAATAATAATATTTAATTTTATAAAAAAAATATATATTATAATCTTATATTTTAGAATTATAATTATATTAATAATAAGATAAAAAAATGCAAAAAATAATAAATATCAACAAAAACTAACTTAATTAATTTATAATATCAAAATTATTACATTTATAAAATATTGATAAATAATATCAAATTAATATTAATTATCATAATTTAAAATTAATATTAATTTGATATT